AGGGTTGGAAGCAGAAGGGAGAAGAAGAGCCCGAGGACGAGGGGGCACCGGGGAACCCGAGCAGGAGGGCGAGCGGCCGGGTCGGGTTTGGCTGCGGGACTTTTTCTTCCCAGCCGCCAGTCCGGGAGGAGAACTTACTTGTTGAGACTCTTGTTGCTGTTCTTTCCTTTGTCCCAAGAGAGAACTCGGAGCATCCAGTCCTGAGGAAGGAGCACAGCCACCATCCAGAGCCCAGAAAAGGCGTCATCTTCGCTTGCTCACCTGCTCATCCACACAGAAGCCTCCCCCCCCCCAGCTAGACGGCCTCCCTGCCCTCTTCCGCCCGGGGCCTGGCCAGGGACCAGGGCAAACAAGCTGCTGGGATGTGGGGGGGGGGACCTCCCTCCCCCCTCTGAGCTTCCACCTGCATCCTGGGGGGCCAGAACAGGCAGGATGGCAAACAGGGACGTGGGGGAGTCGAGACGCGCAGTGGGCGGCTGGGGGTGGGCCACTCACCTCGGACACCGTGGAGGGCCACTGGGCGAGGCTGGTGGTGAGCGTCCACTCCTTCAGGCTGCAGAGACAGGCCGGGCGTGAGCAAGGGGCAGCCCGGAGGCTGGGCGAGGGGCAGGTTCCCAAACGACCCAAGGCTAAGACCCCCCCACAGGATTTCGATTCCATGGCATGCGTTTCCCCCCCCATGTGTTCCCTCCCCCTGGCTGGGTATTTCCTGGGGTGCCTGCTCTGAGCGGGGGGGGGCTTTCGGCATGGTTCCTTGCAGGGGTGTGGGCCAGGACTGAACCACTGGCTCTGCCAAGAGGAGCAGCTCCCAGTGCCGCCCACGGGGCCTTGGCTGGAGGGGGTGGGAGGGCTGGCCTGAAACCACAGGAGGGGCCGGGAGACCAAAGGGGAGCAAGCCGGCGCTTTCCTGTCCGACAAAAGCTTGCAGAGAAGCGGCCCGAGGGCTGAGTGGCATCGAGGAAGGTTCCCACCCGGTCAGTGCATGGCCCTCGAGAGGAGGACCCCTCAGGAGGTGACACAGAAAATGAAATAAAAAGCCACGG